GAAGTTGTACGCTTCAATGGCCCTTCCCGATATGTGCTGAACCGGCCAGAAATTTTCCACACTCTCGCCCACACACTGGCCTGGGACCCAGGTGATCGGCGTTCCATAATGCGGGTGAAGAAGATTCCCAGTCCGCTCCTTCCTAGATACGTTTAGAAATACATGCAGCCGATGAGCAAGCGACACACTTACATCAATTGCTCCTCACGTGAGACTAACGGGGGAACTTCGTCGTACCACTCGGGCTTCCAGACCGGCATGTACCGCACAACAGCGCGACCTAGTTCATAATCAAAACTGATAATTCCCGTCCCGTGCCAAAACCAAACGCACAGGTATTGATTTGCATGATGTGGTTCCGGCGAGCCTTTCAGCAAAGGTTACTTGTGAGTAAGCGCGGCAAAGAAAAGGGCGGGCGTCAATACAGAGAATACCGCACGCTATCTTTTATAGCTTGGAGATCGGAAACACTGGCCTACGAACCTGGACAATCTTTTCTGGGTTACGAGACCCCGCACAAATCTTATTTACCGACATCTCCGACGAAGGGTCAGGGCGCAAACAATAACTGTTATTTTCAAGTAAAACAGAAAGAAAGATCATTAAAACTAGATAACGCGCTCACCATTGAGGACAATTCAACCCATGGAGCGCGCCCCGACTGTACCGCTCTGGTCCTCCTACACCATCTCCCCGCGTACCCAAGTAATTCCCCTGCAAATGTCTTTTGTCGACAGGCTCGCCAGCCAATACGCGTTCATCGACCGCCAGCGCCGCAATATTCTTGCCGGCGAGTCGGAAAAACTCGAGCGCGAGGGCCGCAATTTCGAAGGGCGGACCACTGAGCCTCTATCTGAATCGTCCTCGTCAGAGTCTGACAGCGAATATACACTTCCGGGGGGGGGCTACGTGCGCAAACCGCGCGTCTACAATCTGCGCCCCCGCCCTCGCCCCGCTTTGGCCGACATCACTCCTATCCCCGAGACCATCACTGCGGATTTCTTAGTGGAGAAGCTGGGCTTCAGACGCGTGAGATGGGAAGAGTTAGCCACGATACACATCTGCTGCATAACTCATTGCTTACCAGATTGACATAACAGGCCCCGCGTCTTCGCGGACTTGGAGGGGCGCATTGGAGCTGTTTTCGTCGGTCCACCGCACCAGCGGCAGCGCTGGGAAAGCTCTGTCCGAAAGGCCAATGTGGTGATGCGGATGGCCAGGGCGAGCATTGTTATATCCGTGCTTTGTCGGACCGGCCGGCCCGGCCGGCCCGGTCCGGCAATTCCCGAGAGGGTTTTCACGCTATGAAGGTCTACTGAGCGTTTCCCTTCTAATCACTGATTACTCATCGGGCCGACGGACTTGTATTTCTCCGAGGCCTTATTGTCTAGCCCGACTTCTTTCTCGGGCGTCCTTACCAAGCCCGAAGTCCTTTATTGTTTAACCTTACTAAGTCACCTTGCTACCTTATTGTTTAATGTTTCTTACTTACCAATATCTCGCACGCTATTGTATTCAATAGACAATAGCGTACTTAGTTTAAAAAGCTAGTTAGATATGTTTTGTACTTCAGTTTGATTATTGATTGTTTCTTCGCTATCTCGGCGTTGGTCGAGCCTCTGTCTTCATCCTCTATTCGGACTTCAACTCCGAACTCCGAACCCCGTGACTCCAGACTATAGTCTTGTGCGGAACTGCGGACCCGAATAGTCGCTCACTCTATTCTTTGTAGTGTTGCGAGAAACCGCGAACTCCGAGGTCGGACTTCCTCGGCCTTGGCCTGACTTGACATATAACAGTACTGTTATGTAACGTGCCTGCAAGCTAACACTGTTACCAACTGAGCCAAAAGGCCACTATGACAGGTTAATCCTGTCATAGGCTGCAGACTATATATACATGATTACACACATTTTGCATGCATGTAACAGTGCCCCCCCATTAGGCACTGAGCCCTCGAAGTGCGAAATGATCCTAGAATGGATCCGAAATGATCCTGGAATGGATCTGAGATGTCCCGGAATGGGACAGAAGCCCAGGAATGGGCCGGACCGGGGACGGAACCCCGGGTGCACTTCCGAGAACCACATGATACACAGTAGACCCCCAGGTCACATGATCGACCTGCCGGACGTTGCCGAGTTCAAATAATGACAAATTTCCCAGGTTCTCCAGGCCTGAAAAAGAATGCCACCAACAGGGATTGAACTCGCGACCGGTTTAAACCTGTCATACTGTTATATAACGTGCCTGCAAGCTAACACTGTTACCAACTGAGCCAAAAGGCCACTATGACAGGTTAATCCTGTCATAGGCTGCAGACTATATATACATGATTACACACATTTTGCATGCATGTAACAAGCATCGACCACGCCAACCTCGACACGCACAACTATCTTCGGGGTGGCATCACCCATGACCCAACAGCTAAAGTAAGTCCCAATTAGTTCGGCGCGGTAAAGCTACTGACCGTGCACTTCAGCGTCCCCGGAGAATCGACCGCTGTTATACCATGCACAATATTGCAGCGCTAGCGTCTTTAAGAAACTCGCGCGCGGTCCAGGATATAACGTCATTTCAAAACGGTCAGTACGCTCGGTCCCTCTGCAAAAGAATACAAAGTCACCGTATACTGCAGCCGTTCTCTAGGGCATAGCTCCCCGAGCCTGGAGCGACACTAGATCAATCATCGATGCTGTAGTTCAGAGCGACTGGGACCTCCACGTCCCGTTCCAGCTAGGGAACCAGGGACCATACCAGCCGACGGCATTCTCCGAGGTCGAATATCGCTTTGACCTGCCGGACTCCATGGGCCGCCGCGACGAGGACGACCACCCATCCAGTATCCGCGGCCTCACTGCAGTCGGCGCGTATCCTTACACGGAGGGCGGCCTGATACTCTGGAACAACCGTACGGTTGTGGATTTCCCGCCTGGGTCTTCCTTCTTCTTCCTCGGGGCCCTGACTCGTTATTCATTTTGCGCAGTCGAAAAGCCAGGGTACCAGATGATCATAACGCAAGCTTGCGGGGCGCGCTTGCACGGATACGTTGCCGACGGGTGCGAGAAGAGGTATACACCTCACCCTGAACCAGAGTTTCCATCGCGCGCAGCCCAGAAGGCGGACCGCTTGGCGCGCGCGCGGGAGGCGATCGGGTTATTGCCTACCGTGACCGAGTGGGACGCAGCCGAGGGGCAGGACTTGGAGGATTCAATATTAGAGTTCGCGTCGTTCGGAGTCTAGGGTAGAAAACACGTGCTCGTACCGCCAATAGGGCTGGAAAATAACACGACCAAATTGAAATTCTTTCTTGCCTACTTCACGTTGCAATACTACATATATGTCTCAAGATTGCCCCGATCTCATATGTCTCAAGATTGCCCCGATCTCCGACACTGATGGGAGGCTGCGCCAAATCCTATAAATTGGTGGGTGACTTTGTTGCCTCATTCCCTCACATCTCAATTGTACTCGCCAACGCTCGACAAATCTTACATAGATCTACATACCGACGCCGTGATCCCATGCAGCGTCGCCCCAATCGCCGGCCACCACTGGTGGGCAACGCCGATAACCCTTTTCTCGTTAATAACGACGGTCTGGTCGTGCGATCGCTGAATGGTGAGTGTATATCTATTAATGGGAGGGCGTTGTATTGAGCAAAGTCTTATTTTACCTAGAACTCCTCGCGCCTGACCTTCCTCGTTGCAGTGGCTCTGTCCGAACAGGCAAGGAGAACATCGACCCTTTGCTTCCCCTCGCGGCGGCACGCGAACGTCGTTGGAGCAACACTTACGCCCCAACTGCTACGGTCGTCCACGGCCAGACCAAACCCAAACCCAGACGTCGCCAAAGTTTCTTCGGCCCTCCATCCACCATCATTCAACACACCCAGTTGGTCAATGGCAAGCTCGTGACGCTCAGCGACGCCAAGTTTTCCAATGCGTTGGCCTTGGCTGAGGCCCACGCCGCCTATCGGATGGAGGGATATCGCGTGCCTTCCCGCCGTCTCACCAACTCCACCGCGCCGGGGGCCACCCGTATCCGCTTTGGACCTCTCGCCAATGCCGCCGCTCGAGCCGCTGTGCGCATGGGGTATCGTCTCCCACGCCAAGTACCGCTCACGGACCACGAGCTGTATTTAGGTGCGCGTCGGCCGCAATTCTTGACCACCATCCACCGGCACCTCGAATGCACTCTTTGCAAGGGCATTAAATCTCACCCCGTCATATACGTGTTCTGAGGACGACCCTGGACTCTACTGACGCACGTTCTTTCTGCCCTTAGGTATCGATGTGGGCACGGTCACTGCTACGTCTGCGCTTGCAAAGCGCTCGAAAATAGCTGGAAGTGTCCTGATTGCCCCGCGGAAATCCAGGAGCGGCCGGTAATTGACTACCCCTCCGAGGACGCCATAGCGTGGGCGCACCCGGAACGCATGGACCGTAGCTTCGTGACATACTCGTGGGACGGCCTCATTTTCCCCGAACCGCGCATCGTCCCTTCATCACCCTAGGTAGTTAGTTACCTGCTTGTCGCACCGTAGATCACAAAATCAATATGCTTTACTACGTCGCTTCCTATTTAGAGGACCAAGGAGAGCAAAAAAAAACCTACCTAATCTATGGTGGGCACATGGCAGTATGGACCTGGTAGTGTAGTGGTACACCCCTTGTAGTAGTAATGTCTCTGCTAGGTATTTCCCGAGGTGATCACGTTCGATTCGGGGCCAGGTCTTCTTTTTTTTTTTTCTCGAAATAACCTGCGGTGGGCCTGTGGCGGTATGGATCTGGTAGTGTAGTAGTACACCCCTTGAAATAGTAAACGTCTCTGAGGTGTTCTTCGAGGTGATCCCGTTCGATTCGGGGCCAGGTCTTTTTATTCATTTATTCGGGATCTAATGTGTAGGCCCTATCGTCTTATGACGCCAGGAAAATTTGCGACTGAGATATCCGTAAGTAACCCCCCCCTGAAAAAAGGAACTTGGGATGAGGGTATGCCCTCGGTGGGAGTCGAACCCACAACGTCCCGCTGAACATTGATGGTTCGACATCGTTCGCAGAGGATCTCCCATTGATCCACGAGGGTGTAGCAGAAGTCCAAAGTGTAAAGACATATAGAAAGTCTTCCAAAACCTGTTTATTTTATTCTGCTATATACTAAGTACTTATGGAGGCAAATCAAATAAAAACCGACAGACACAGGGAACGACAACAGAGGCAAAGCGTCTAATAGTGGTTCAAGCCAAACGGAATCGCCGACTCGGATTCAGACTCTGAATATTTGGAGTCCGAGTCGGTCGAGTTGGTCGAGTCACCCCGGCTCCCGCGAGGCGAGGGCGATCCCGGCGCCCTGCGAACGCGGCCAAGCAGTGGTTTGCCTTGACGGGCGCCGTTGCCCCAAGAGGACTCCTGCGTTCGTGCGGAAGCCGCGCCGCGGTGAATACTGGTACTTGTGGGCGCGGCAGTACCCAGGCGGGTGGGTTCGTCTTCATCGGAGGAGTCGGGAGCTGCGACCCTGGTAGGCTTGCTGGGACGAGCCTTCTTAGGCACAGACGGCGTAGGGGCGTGGTGTGCTTCGTCATCAAACGAAGACAGTGCTGACTCGGGATCCCGCCGACACCGTCGTTTGGTGGGTACGTGGGTGCGCGGCCGCTTCTTGCTAGGGGTAATGTCCTCGCCCGAGGATTCAGAGTGGTGTTGGCACCTCTTCCAGGTTACCGTGGTCGGCGGTGTGGAGTGCCTGCCCTTGCGGCGCCGCGTCTCCTGCCTGCGGAGCCTGCACTGGATCTTGTCCTCCATCTTGCGCTCGAAGGCGACCAGGCCATATTTGGAGCCGAAGTCTCTGTGCGAGATAAGTATGGTGTTCTGTCTCGCTGCCGAAGCGATGCACGCACTGGATGCGCCTCGCGCGCGTCATGACCATAAGCTGAATGCGATTTCTGAGAGAATGTTGGCGCTCGTGGGCGGACAATGTTTAAGGACCCCTACTTGGCTCGGTACCGCACGCACGCCTCTCGAGCGCGTTGTCTGCGCGCCTCTTGTTCCTCGGCCGGGGCCGTCTTCAGTCGCTCACGGTACCTGCAAGCGGTTCAATTTGAGCGGGGAGCCTAGCCAGAGAGGGACTGAGAAGAAGACATTCTACGAAGCAAGAAGCAATTGATCACTAATGCAAACAAACATAAATCAGACTTCGGCTAGCGGATGCTGGGCGGTGGACAGATTGAGAGGGAGAAATCACGATTCCGAGGGCAGCAGGCGACGAACTAACAATTTGGCGCGTGCTCGCCGGTGAGGACGCGAATAACGCGTCATGGAAATGCGGAGATAAGGCACGAGTGCGACGCCAATGACTGACTGTCCAGAGCGGAAGAAAGGATTTCTCAGTCATTATTTAAAGATAATGTACTGGTGTGCCACTTACCAGTTTCAAATGAGATATGATTTGAGGTGTGGGGCGATGGGCCTCGGTGCGAGCGACGTTCGGCTTGGTTGGGCATGTTCAGACAAGGAGGAATTCAGCGCCCCCTGGACAAAGTTGGGGCGGAGAGAAATTGAGGAAGGCTGAGAGTCAGCAGAGAGAGTGGGACTCAAGGATTGCAAGGATCTCAGAAGGGGCAATGATTGTGCTTCAGGCAAATCGACAATTTTGACTATTTTGCAATAAACCGAGGTGTTGCGTACTTCCCAGGGAAACCGAGAGTTCCAGGACGGCCAGCAGAGTCACAAGTAATAGAATATTGCAAAATGAGGAGTTGTGGAAGATGTTGAAGGAAAAGGGACACGAAAGAGACGAGCAGGCAGGTAAAAGTACACACCTAAACAAGGAATCGCAGTCTTGTGCCAAATTTGTAGAGAGTGACGGCCCATCATTGTACTCATTAATTCATAGAAAATCATGGCATTCGATGCAAGGTCTATTTAACGTGAGTGAAGATGTACAATGTCAATACAGACATTTTGGCCTCCAAGAATTGGGCCGCCGATTATTTCCACGTCTCGAAGTGAGAAATTATGATTGCGATTTGTGTGGCGAGTGACGGGGAGCGTGCACACTCCCCACATAGTTCGTTCGGCCGAGATCTTATCTTGGCTTTTGTCTGAGGATGGACTTGGGCGGGGACTCGAACTTTCGTTCACAATACCGGTCACATGTATTCTATATTTCACTACTACGAGTACGCTACGTTATGAGTGATAGATGGGCGTGAGGACCTTGATTCGCCCGTCGGCCAAGGCAGTTTGGTACCGCAGGATCGCAACCTCTTTTGTGTCGCACGAGTCGAAAACAGAGTTCGTGATACCGACGGTATTGAGGTGGCATTCAACACTGGAAGAGAGACGATCAGAAGGAATGTCACGAATAGATAACCGAAGAATACCTGGAGGGATAGACGCCAGGTGTAATGCCGCAGTACACAATGTACCAGAGACCGTTGTGCTCGCCGTGCAGAGGGTTGGGGGCGTCAGAGAATGCAGGTGGCTGAGGGAGCCACGGGATCGCAGGCGGCAGCACGGCAGAAGGGACTATGAAAGAGTCGTCCGGGACACGGCGGGTCCAGCCCCGCAGCCGCGCGTACTCGAATGCAGCGGTGGCGCCTTCGAAAGTCGAATATCCTTGCTGAATGGAGCAGCTTACTCCGCGGACCATAGCTTCGACCTCTGGCCTGCGAGCTTAAGCGCGGCACGACGCATGCTGGTGGGGCAGCTCACCAAGTGCAAAAGGGACCAACGTCTCTGCCAATGAACACAGCATAGCCTCCCTTGTGCCTGCGCTTCTTTGTGTTGGGGGTGAGTCTGCGAGCCGTGCCGCCTTCTCGGATTTGGTGAGCCACGTGCTCCCTGTATTATTGCGAGTCAGCAAAGGGAGCGTCGTGGTTGGGACGACCACTGACCAATTCTCAGTGTAAAGGGAACCTTGGGTGGGCGTTGTAACATGGTAAAGGCGAGGAGCGCGTTCTGGTGTTCCTAAAGCGGGCAAGGGCTGAAAAGGGGGAGGGGAAGGTGCTCTGGCCCGATATACGGGTGGAGATCGGTGAGCGATGGGTGCCGATGCCGCTGAGCGCTGAGCAGGCGATGGGGGAGGCGGGAGGCGGGGTGCGGTGCGCGGGGCAGAGTCATTGCCATTGCTGACATTCAGCTCTCCAATGAGGCAGAGGATCTCGTTGAGTTCGGTGGGGTCGGGGTCGACCATGGTCGGCACTGGTCGAGGTGCAAGGCGCGAGACCCTGAAATCCCATTTCGAATGAGGATGGGGATGAGAGATCAAAGGAAGCTGATGAAACAGCGCTGAAGGGGTAAGAAAAGAAGCAGGCCCAAAACGGACGCAGATCACTGCAACCCCGTCAGGAATGACGATCTGGGAATCTGAATCTGGCAGTCGAGACGGCACAAAAAATTCATTACAAACGATAAACTACGCGGCAGAAATAGCTCTAGGGCACCGGCGGTCGCGGCGATTTAATCGCAGGTCAGATCAGGACGGATTGATTGCGACCGCGCCGCAAACGAGGGCGCCATTGAAGTGCTCGAGAGCTTCGCTCTGCAACCCGAACTTCTCCGACAATGCACCCGCAAAACCGGTGACAGCGTTGATAGAGATGGCAGAATTTTTGGTAAGCCCAACATACTTGCCGCGCGTTATGGCAAACCACTTGTCCTGGTTGTCGGGGACCGCCTGGAGAGGCATCATCGGGACGACGCCGTAAAGATTCCCAGCGATCCATGGGCCATCCATGTGAGGGAGGCCCGTGGGGCTGAAAGACGTGGGGACGGCCGGATGGTGGGGCGTTGGCGCCGCGGCGGGAGCGTTGACCTGAGCAGCTAGAAAGCGGTTCCGATGAGCATGTGGTTTGGGAAAGGAAAGAGCGAGAGGCTTACCTGATTCGGGTGCGGCCAACGGGACGTTGTAAAGGCGGCTGGCGGCTTTGGTGATGGCGGTGTTGGCGGCGCTCAAGTTCACGAGGGTTTGGTGTACTGGGTAGAAAGGTAAGTCGCATATTAGAAAGGAAGATATGACAACTAACGATCGTGGACACTACTATCGAGGGCGGAAGCGCTGAGGGCCGAGGCGCTCGCGATCGCGGTCAGTAGATCCTGCAGGGCAGCGTGGACTGGGTATGACGGGACGAGTGAGGTTAAGGGTAGAGAGGTAGAGCGAGAAACGTACAGGCGGCGCCGGCGTTTGTGTTGTTGTCGGTCATGTTGGGAGGAGAAAAAACAGCGGGAAAGATGGAGGTGTAGGAGGTTGTTTGGCGTGAAACTGAGGTTTTTAAGGGAGGTAGGTTGGAACTCCGCTGATGGTAGAGACATGTGGCCCGGCCGGACGGAGGTGTGCTGGTGCGAAGGCAACCGGTGGGGGCCGGGGCCTCAAACGAGGCAAAATACCATCATCTTATCAACAATTTCTCTCCGTTACCACCACCTAATCGAAACTCGAGACGACGCAAGCCAGGAAAGCCAGCCAATAGAAAAGCCCCGAAAACAGAGTGAGTCGAGTACGGGTTTAGATGAATGGCCGATGGGAATATTGACATTGCGACACAGATGACGGCGTCCAAGGCGAGACAACGCAGGCGTATCGCCAAAGAAGAGCGGAAAAACCTGCGCTTGTGGGCAGAGGGAGCGCGGGAAACCATTCTCACGCCGCACATAGAGATGTACGCCGATGCTCTGGATCGGAACTGGCGCAGCGAGCGGGACTACCTGCAGAAGGTGCGCAACGAGTTCAATGCTCGTATCAGCTGGAGGCTTGGGGACCATGAGGAACCGGAACTGCCTCTGGCGGAGTTCGACCACAGCATTGTCTGGGTTGAGGTTCCTGAGGAGTTGACCGAGGCAGAGGAGCTGGAGAAGCGGACGCGGCAAGCGCTGATGAAGGAGGTAAGAGGAGTGACGATGACGGGAATCACATGACCGTGCTGATCTTCATGTAGCGCATTCGTCGATGGCTCAAGTACCGGGTTCGAAGGCTGCGGAAGCAGCTCCGCTCTCGTCTGGATTCCCGCAAAGATCCATGGGCAATCCTTCTGGCGCAGCTCGCGGGCTTGAAATCACCACCCAAGGCACGTCAAGCCTATCAACAGTTTA